TGATCTACAAGACAATACTGAAACCTATTTGGACTTACGGACTAGAACTGTGGGGATCAGCAAAATTTTCTAACATCAAGCGCATCCAATCCTTCCAGTCTAAAGTCCTTCGAACAATAGTCGATGCTCCTTTCTATGTATCCAACAAAACCCTACATCATGACCTTAACATCCCATTTGTCCTAGACCTTATCCCAGAAAAATTCTCCAAATTTCACCAGAACCTTACTTACCACCCAAATCCTCTTGCACAATCCCTATCAAGCATCTCCCATCCCTATAATCCTCCAAGAAGGTTGAAACGGCAGTGGCCTCGCGACCTTTTGTAGATTATATAAATTGGAGTTCTGGCAATGGCCAGATTCTTCACTCAAGACATGTGTGTATGTGGCTAAAGTGCTCTCGACCAATCTCCGCTGGCTTTAGTACCAGTGACGCGGTTGGGAGAGTAGCGCAGGGTTCTCCTGGAGTTCCCTCGCCTGATTGTATATAGGTATGCATGTGTTTTTTTTTTCCTTAGTTTTAATTTTCTTATTTTTTAGGTTATTTTATTTTATTGTCTATTGTATATACTTTTGATTATTATTTTGTTCTATTTATTTTATTTTTTTTGTACATATGGTGTGAATGTCATCCTACCTCACTATAACCAATGTCCAACAGACAGAATGTTATAATACTCAATAAAGAAATTTAAAAAAAAAAAAAAAAAAAAATCGCGAATGTATCATTTTCTAGAAATCTAACTTAATTTAGCCGATCAAAAGTACCCTTTTAACAATGACAAACTCTATTTCCATTTAAACTAAATTTTGTCTAGTTTAGAGTGAATCAATTGTTAATTATTTAGATTAACTATTTCTTTAGTTATCGCTTTCTCAACAAAAAAACTTGACTTATTTAAAAAAAAACATAAAGCTCGAGTTTCTTTCTTTTCTGCTAAAAATTGGCCCATTGTTTACAGCAACTTTTTAGTAGTTGTTGAGGTCTACTATGACCTCTTTAAATATTTCCCTCTACTTACGGGGCACCCTATGTAATAATATAAATTGACAATAAGGCGCTATGTATAATATAGATTTTTTTAAGAAATTAAAAATTTGTCCGAACTTTGGTTCTGTTCCATTTATTTTATGTTGATAACAAATAACACAATCTAAACTAAAGGATACAGGTAAATTACAATTATACTATTTGGACAACGAATAAAATACAGTTAAATGAACAGTTGCATAATTTACAAAATGAGGGTTGGTTCGTTATGCGGGAGTATCCCCCTAGTTTAATGAAAAAAATAATTTAACACCATAATTGACAACTATTGTTAAAAATTGAAATGCTTGTTAAAATTGTAAATTAACACATCAAATAGGATGAAAATTAATTTACAAACTACTCGTTATTTCATTCAAATATTAATTATCCACAATTGTATTTTTTTTTAAATAAATACGCAGTCAATTTTGCTGCGCAATGTATAAATATTTGTTAAAAATATAGTTTACCAGCACTAATAAATAATTCTCTAATTAAATGATGAAATAATGAATAATTAATGTTTCCTAATTATAATTGGGAACGTAGACAAATGTCGAAAACAACATTATATGTTTCTAAACAATTCACGAAAATATTTAGATATATACATACGTATGAAATATAAATTTGTTTATGGGATAAACAATTCGATTAAATATGCTTTCCTAGGTCTAAATTGTAAACAAGTGAAAATTGGAAATACGTGAATATGCAGAATAACATTTTACGTCAACAAGTTAATTTAAATTTTATTGGCAATATTATTAATTATTAATCGACAGTACGTTAAATTTCGTATACAGGTTGTTATGTCGCCACGACCTTCATACATTTACATTAAAAACACAGAAACTGTATATATATTTCAAAACAATATTTGAAACGAAATTTAAATTTATGATTAAAAATAGAAAATAATAATTTCATAGAGTAAAATACTTTTTTTAAATTAATAAAATGTGCAAAAAAAGTTATTACAGTATAAAGTTTTTATCATTTACAAATAGAATAAATAATCATAAGATATACAAATCTAATCACAGTAAAGACAAAATTGCTAGCAGTTGTTTAGTTGGTGATTAGGCGATGATAAGTAAAAAGCGGTTTTGAGTTGCTAAAGGTTTCTAAAAGGATGGAATATATTATATCGAACATTGATAATATGTTACAAAGACTAGAAAATAGAGAATAGTTACAAATAATAAAAAACCGCTATAAAATGTGTTAGTGTTTACATTTTTACTTTGATTTTTAGATCCGAGTTTTCAACTCAAACAAACTTTTTAAGGGCCCTTGAGTCCAAATGACAGTCATATTCAAGTTGGTACATAACAACTTTTCCCCGTTGTTAAACCCACTGCACAGCGTGTAAAGATTTAAAAAAAATAGAGTTAACAGAAACTAATAAATAATTCTGTGAATGAATAATGAAATAATGGATAATTAATAATTATATTATTAATTATCGTGTCAATAATTAAATGGTATTTAATATAATTTAAGGACCATGCTTGATAAATTGATTTCACAGAGCTTAAATCTGAGGTAAATTTACCAAATTTCTTACTTTAAATATCTTTAATTTTGTTAATTTTGGTTACTTAAAAGTCTCTCGTCATTAGTAGCAATAAAAAATAGATAAATGACTACAAAAGAATTTTATGATCAAATAAAAGGGAAAATCCAACATTCATGTATTTCGAGAAATAATAAAATAAATTGAAATTGGGGGCTAAATGAAATTTAAATAGAAAATTAATTGAAACTTTTAAGATTTATTTTAAAATAATCCAAAGTATAAACTTTATAAAATTGTTTAAAAAAACATTTTATGTAAATTTGTGACGGAAAAACAAGTGCTAAGAACTTTAATTTAGTTTAATAACGTTAGAACCGACAAAATGTTTAAATAATTAAATAGTAATAAGCTCTAAATAAATTTCTACTTGAATAAGGGTTGTAAGTACAAGTTGTGTGATGTGAGCACAGCAGAGCCTTTTAAAATTTTATAAGAAGAAATGTCTTGAGTGAAATGAAACCTTTATGGTACTTTATGTATGTATATACATAATACGCATGTGTTTAACACTACGTACTAACATTAAATGTAAACCGTACAGTTTATGAAAAGGTATCAGGGTTAAAAATATCCTACAATTAATACAAGTGTATGTGTGTGTGTGTGTGTGTATATATATATATATATATATATATATATATATATATATATATATATATATATATATATATATATATATATATATATATGTACATATATACATATAATAAAACAAAACATCACAAGTTCTGCATTTTTTTCTTATTTCTTTATCATTTTGATATACCGTTTGTTTTTCTTTTTTTTTACCTATTAAACCAATTAATAATGTTTACTTCATCAATAACTGAAAAAAATCTATAAAAATGTTCGTATAAATAAAATAAAATTTTTATTACTTATGAGCGTACCAGTTCAATGAGTAATTACGCTCATGTACTTGATTTGTTCTTACTATATACATACATAAATGAAAATGGTTATAATGAAAATAATTGAAGGAAAATTGAAATATAATTATAATTAATTTAAATTTTACTTTTTAAGAATGGTGGAACAGATTGAGTAGGATATGATCATAAAATAAATACGTTATATAAATTTTCTCTTATTTAATGAAATATATAGCGGTCACGAATTACTTAATACCTTATTCACCACTCAGAGAAAATAGAATAATGTTTTCGGGAATTTTCTTAATATCCATTTTGCTGGGCGAGTGGTGGAACTATCCTGTAGGAGGGACGCCAAGGGACTGAGATGTTCCCCAAGATTAAGGAGGGAATCAATTTTAATTGTTGTATAAAGCTTCTTCTTATCTTCAATGATGAAGGCGCGAATATTATCAACACATTCAAATGTGGTAAATGACATACACGATAGACCATGACATCAGCACGTAACTTGTGAACCTAGGACAGGGTTATGTCCTACCACAAGTCCCTAAGTTAAACTTTTATTTAGATATACTTTGATTAAAAAACCCATTTCTCTTCTCGACACTACGAGCAAAAGTTAAAGTTGACTGAACATATAAAAAAAAACTATAAAAACAATTCATTTTTTTCAATTTAAACTTATAAATAACGCTAATACCAATCTTATCAATTTTATAGAAAAAAAAAAATACTCAAGAATAAATGAATATTTTTATAATATAAAGCAGAACCTCAATTAACGAACATCTCTCCCCAACGGTCATGAGAGTTTAAATAAGTCGCAATCCGTCAACTATCGTTTGAAAAAAAGTTGAAAATTCAACTAAATTATGTAATGGTAGCACTGTTCGAAACATCATTATTATAATAAAATGAGCAATGTCAAGGAAGAGTTTATATTTTAAATGCAGAAGATGAAAAAAGGAGTTGAAATGAAACCTCTCTGATAATTTATATATACATAATATGGATTTTTTTAACACTGCGTACTAATATTAAATGTAAACGGTACTGTTTATTAAAAAAAACTACTTAGTTTATGAAGTTTAACGGGCTCTTGTATTTTTTTTTTTTTACCATTTCCATATACGGTTCTTTTCATTTTATCAAGTAAACCTATTAATAGCGTTTAATTTTTTAATAATAGAAAAAATAAATGATTACAATTAAAATATAAATTTCATTATTTATGAGTGAACAAGTTAATGAATACTTTGATTACGCTCAAGCACTTAATAATTGGTTCTCAATATATACTTACATAAACACTATTGTTTACATTGATAGATTTTATTATAATAGATTTAAAATTTAATTTTTAAATACGACGGAACAAATTAAGTAGGAAAAGATCGTGAAATCAGCGCATTGTATGAATTAGAATAGAAAGAAATACATACGAATTATTTAACAACTTATTCATCACTCAAAGCTAGGAAATAAAATAAAATAATATGGTAGCATACCTTTTTCGGGCATTTTCTTAATATCCATTTTGTTGGGCGAGTGGCGGAACTATCCTGCAGAAGTGACACCAAGGGACTGAGAAGATCTTCCCCAAGATTAAAGAGGGAATCAGTTTTAATTGCTATATAAAGCTTCTTCTTATCTGGATTGATGGAGTGACAATATTGATAATACGTAGCGCTCGAGTAGGGCGCGAATGTTATCAAAACATCCAAATACGATAAATGACATAAAAAAGAGATCAATCAGGAGGGGACTTGTGAGGCTGGCACATGGCCCTCATCTCTCATGTGCTACCCACAACTCCCGAGGCTAACATTTTATTTAAATACACTTAAACAAAAAATAAAAATATTAAAAAAAAAAAAAAACTATTTGTCATCTCTGCAATGTCAGCATAAGTTATAATATACTGACTGATTTAAAATAAAATAAAAACTATCAAAACAGTTGATTCCAACATATCTTTTTTAATTTAAACATATATGTAAACTTCATTAATACTATTGTTACGGTCTTTAATTTAGAAAAATCGTTTCCGCAACAAACTGAGCATCCGGCAAGCTCAGTGGAGACGGCAGGGTTTGAAACAAATAAAAATAATCAAGAGTCAATTATATATTAATAATTATCTAACAGGAGCCACGCTATTTAATTGGTTTGATTTGGAAGATAGCGAAAACTATAGAAAAATAAATAAATAGATTTAATTTAAAAAAAAAGATTAGGACGCAGAGTGAGCTACGAACTGGGAACCTATGGGTTTAAAAACGTGTTAATTAACCTCATAACCTACCGAACCTTCTTACTCGGTTAATAATGACTTTCCATAATCCCTCGGAAAGGGTTTTACAGTTGCTTATTAAACATAAAAAAAAATATAATATATACATAAAATGCGAAAGCAAACGGAACAATAAGATGACAATAAAACTGGATATTATTAATACTAAAGATGAGTTTACTTATTTCTATTAATTTAAATAACTGTTAAAGGAGATGAAAATTATGAAGAAAAATTAGATTTATAAGAAAACATAGAAAATACAATTAACTTTAATCATAAAAAAAAATAATATAAAATTATTATAGAAATAAACATTAATTTAGACTATACAATAAACCAATTACAAACATTAAAAAAAAATAGATAGAAAATAAAAACTTATATACAGATATTTACAAAATCTCTATGCCGAACTTTGTCAACTTTGTCGAAAAAAAAAATATCTCAACAGTAAATAAATATATTTTTCATATCAATATAATAATAGATACAATGAAATCCCTCTTAATGCACACTTATTCCCAATGAACACGGCTCCTAACAATTTTAAAATGTCTGGAAGTTAACGAATTTAGCCCCTTTGCAACGGATTATTTTAACCAAGAACCATATCAAATTATTTAACGAGCACTTACTTAAATAGTTTGTATATCGTAGAGATATTCTTAAGAAAACCTGCTTGACAATCACTAACTGTCCATGTAAGCCAGGCATACGCTTAATTATTATTAGTGTGTAAATTTCACTCTCTACATGTTATTAACCAAACAAAAATGTTGAACATTAAATTAAATTTGCAATCTGCGAATTTTTTGGCAGCTTTAGAGCCTCCCATCACATTAAGGATATAAATCAGATCAGGAGGTCTCTTGGCCAACGCCTACGTAATCGTCGTGGTCGGCTGAAGGGATTTCTTGGATTCATACATTCATGTTGTACTTCAATCTTTGGTGATGGTTATTGCAGTTTTTTTTTTCAGTGTCAAATATTGTTGGTACGTTGAAGTCATTATGTAGTATACATTTGCGACATAAAACAGTGCATCAACTATCCTTCACACCGTTGACTGGAAGGACTGAATTTTTTTAAAGTTGGAAGTTTTAGCAGAAACCCCAATTTCTATGCCGTAAGTCCAAATTGGTTTAAGTAAAACTTTTTATTAAAAATTATAAATAAAGTACTTAAAATTAAACATTATTAGGACTGAATAAAAAAAAACTAATGACAAGAATTATTATTTTAAAATTAAAAGTGAGTTAAATTAAATAAAAAATTATATTAAGCCAGGGGTTGACATTGCCTATAGTGTTGCCCAAAATTGTTGCACTTTGCAAGACTGTTAAAAAAAAATCTTTTTGTGAATACAAATTAAGGCAAAATAGTTACTAATACTTGACAATTTGAGTTACTATATCTAAAGAATTGGTATAAGCGATATACTTTTGCATTTAACTCTCCAATTGTTCATTCGGGCTTAGTTAGGTTTCTACTATCTGAAACTATAGGCTAATATCCACAAGCTGATAGGTAACTGCAAGACCAAGACAGAGTGCGCTAGACCAATACTGAGTGCGCTAGACCAATACTCGTCTTGGTCGCGCATTTGAGCAACACTGGTCACCTAAGAGTAATTGAAAGGTCGTTGGTGAAATTGTTATTAACACCACTTAAGACACAGAAGTGTCAATAATTATTGAAACTGTTGAAAACGTATCTTTTCATCTTTTTTTTTCCCCGATAATTGATCAAATATATTTTATTCGAACTTCAAGGAAATTTAATAACTGATACACTTATAAAATTAATTAATCTGAAATCCTCGAGACAAATTTCTCAATGCAAACTTTTCTTGGAATGTTAACTTTATTGTTAATATTATTTTTTTAAAGAAAGCTTAATTATAAATTTATTCTCTCATAAATCCGGCCACCCGAGGGGAAAATACAACGCCAATAAGCAGGGAAGGGATATAAATAAGTTTTCCAGAAATTAATTAGTTACCAAAACAGCTACAATAGCTAGAACGGATCCAAACAAGTCCGGATAAAATAAAAGACAAAATGCCATACCTGAAAATTAATTAAAAAGAAATGGGTTTTATTAAATAGCTATAATTAATTACCTCGATGCGTCGCAGGCTCAAATATCCCTTTTAATTTAGTTAATTAATTTAATGAGAAATAATAAAATATTCTGAGAAATTCTAAATATATAGGTCCACTTAGAACCTGATAAAGTTTAATCAAGCACAATAATTTTATTCTCAACATAAAAGAGCACTTCTAAATTTTCGGTACATTTAGTTAATATTGGCGTGTATTTTTTTCATATGATTAAATGAAATATTTATTGTGTGGAATTGAAAAATAGGTTTTCGAATTTCTGTGATATCGGGGTCCATAATTCTCGACGTTGGCTCCATGGAGCCCCTATCCATCTCATTTCTGGCCTCACACCTCATCTATTGCTAACTATTGTTGTGTGTTGGTTTCCTTGTGGGTTGCTCCAAGATACATGTTATCAATATCCTTACCATCTTTTTTTTTAAATTATAACATTTCTTTATCGAGTAATATTCCGTTCAAAATCAAGAACAAACCATCGCAAAAGAGACAGACATTGATTGACCAGAATCTGTAAGCAGTCCTTTATTGGTCTTTCTCCTCCGATCCTAATCCCAGATGGCTCCGATTATCGAGCGGAGTACTTTCCTCTTAAATCTTTCAAATGTTGAGGCTAGGTAGCAACAGGGTTATGCCCTAGGTCTCCCGGGCTTACATCACAACTGCCTTTATCCTAGCATTATAGTCCTTAATTTCACATTTTTCTGGATTTAAATACGTTGGTTTATCTCAGTTGGTTTCATGCATCTAAACTTCTATGAAAGTTTAGAAATATAATTATTTTTTAAAATTAAATACATTTTTACTGAGAGATATGCAGTAAGTCAAAGTATTGCTATCTTGAAAAATATCGAAAATATGGACAGTTAAATATTTATATTCTGCATATCACAGAAAAAGAAATTCTTAAACATTAGTCAAAAAAAAAAAAAAATATATATCCAATTTTTACTAAGAACTAAATCAATACTGAACATATTAATAACACTCCTCTTACCACCCCAAAAAAGTATTAACAATTATTACTAAAAAGATTTATTTGTAAAAAAAGAGTAAAATGAATTATATTGATTATAAACATAAAATATTTTAAAAAATGATTAAAGTTTCCATTACAAACAAAAAAAAAAGAAAAACAAAATGTGTTTAAAAACACTTGTTTGATGTGTTCAGGTGTGAGGCAGTTTTCCTTGTAGACGTTTTTTATTTTTTGTGTAAATATATTGGTTTTCGAAAGCTAAATTTGAATATCGATATTATAATATATTAAATAAATTTCGGATAAAAATATCGATACAATTTTTTATAAAAAAATCAATTTTTTTACTATTTTTCTAAGATGGCTATCGCATTATAGACCAGAATCAAGAAAACAATGCACTTTAGACATTGACATGGACTTCTTATTTGAACCAATTAGCTAGAAGCTTTTGTTTGCTGTTAATAAATATAATTCCAACTTGGTTTCTACAACTGTAAGATAATAGGTAAAGCCTCTTTGGAATTGCGGCCAAGACAGGTTTGGTTAAGTCCCTGGCTGAAGTAAAGCAGCAACTTCTTCATTATTATAAAGAAGGGACCATGTACGGTCAATAGAGCACAGAAATTGAGAATTTTCTCTTCTTCAATTTATCAATTGCTTAAATTATTTTCATTGTCTAATGAGTCATATTTTTCTTAAGGTGATTATACTTTGAAGAAAATCCTCTTTATCTAATCGGGAAGAAAACTCCATACAACAAATCTTCTCTTTTTTAATGTGAGATTCCTCCAATATATATCTAATTATAAAAGAATATCAATTGAACATAAAAATATAAGTATCTTACCACCGAATAATGGATATGTTCCAAATGTCATTTTTACAAAAAATTGGAGGCAATTCTCTGCTTTCCGTCCGAATTTCAAGACGTCATTCCTTGACCAACTAATGTTTAGTTATAGCTATATTTTCGACTGATTTTATTAGGTCCAAATAGTGTATCCCTACCAACAATGTCGTCAGGAAAGGATTTCTTTAGATATTCGTCTGTCACTGTCACATCTTACAGACTACAGATCTCCACTCAACTTACTAAACAAGCGACTAATCTACACCACCATACCAAGATCTATTTGGACATACTATTGGATCTCTTTCTTCCTCCCTGTTACAGGGTTTCCAATGATTCTCCTCCGACAAATTCCCGTACATTTCCCGTTTTTTTCG